ATATTCCCTGTATTTTACGGTACAAAAACTTATATATTTGATAATAATTGACCTAAATCTTCCCTATGTTTTCTTTGCATATACGAATGACTTTGGTAAAAATTTAGTCCGATGTCTTCTCCTCTTTACTGTGTATAAGTGCACATTTTTGGTAAAAAATTTGCATAAATCTCCAATTACCTATTTACTGCATTTTTTCGTAAAATGTGCTTATTTTAATCTCTTATTTTTTATATAAATCTATGCAAAAATGTTCTGCATATTATGATTAAAAGATAAAATTAATTTAATATCAAATTTTTACATATCCACCTTTTAGGTATGTACAGCAATATGGAATATATATAACTGGAAAATTTAAATGCAAAAAAATTAATTTCTATTCAAAAATTACATAACACTAAAAGGCTGAAAATCACTTTTAATATTTCATTTAAAAGTGACTACAAAATATGCAATAAATTTTGTAAACCTGAGTTCTATGTTTTAAATCAATTAATGCTATCGTTCATTTACATGGCATAAGAAAATGTCCTTCGGAAAAGCAAATAATTTATTTAAAGTGTTATTTAGTAAACAACTGTTTGCTACAGTTTGTTTACTAAATTTAAATTTATGAAATGAATTTAGTAAACAAAAATGCAAATGAACGATAGCATTAATTGATTTAAAACACAGAATTGATGTTTACAAAATTTATTGCATATTTTGTAGTCACTTTGAAATGAAATATTAAAAGTAATTTTCAGCCTTTAAGTGTTACATAATTTTTTAATAGAATTTTTTTTTTTTTTTTCATTTACTAGTGCATTTAAATTTTCCAGTTATATATATATATTCCATATTGCTGTACATAACTAAAAGGCAGATATGTAAGAATTTGATATAAAAATTATTTTACCTTTTAATCATAGCATACAGAAAGTTTTTGCATAGATTTATATAAAAAATATGAGATTAAAATAAGTACATTTTATGAAAAATGCAGTGAAAAGGTAATTGGAGATTTATGCAAATTTTTTACCAAAAAATGTGCATTTATACACAGTAAAGTGGAGAATACATCGGATTAAATTTTTACCAGTCATTCGCATATGCAAAGAAAACGTAGGGAAGATTTAGGTCAATTACTATCAAATATATACGTTTTTGTACCGGAAATATATACGTTAATTTCTATCAAATATATACGTTTTTGTACCGTAAAATACGGGGAATATCTACCTTAATTTTTACCTAATATATACGTTTATATACAGTAAAAAATCGGGGAAATTTACGTAAATTTTTACTAAATATATACGCATACGTGAAACAAAAAATTGAGATTTTACGTATATATGCGATAAATATACGTAAATTTTTTACTAAAATATACGTAAATCCCTGAAATTTACGTATATTATACGTAAAAGTAGCGAATGAACAGTAGTCTCTCGCGTAAATATACCTAAATTTTACGTAAAAGTTACGTATAGTATAACGTAAAAATATACGTAAATATTTAGTAATTGCCACTGGACACTTTTTATGATATTTTTACGTTCAACTTGAACGTTTTTTATACGAAAGGCTATTCGTAAATTGCACGTATTTTTCTCGTGCAATTTACGAATGCATGCTGCCTGGGTATAGTGTCAGTGCGGCATGGCGGCACTCTAAATATGGGGCCAGCCAAAAGTCCTCTCGTGTGGATTGGTGGAAGAGGAGCCCTCTCAAAACTAGAGGGTGGAAAATAGAAGCCCAACCTCTCTTTGAAGCACTCTCTTGCAACCATTCTTCCATGTAATACGGACAAGAGAGCAACAGCAATAAACACGAGAAACAATCCTGATAGGTTTCATGTTCTACTTGTTTCATTTGATAAGATAACGATTACGTCCACGACATTTTAATGCGATGATAGTAAATAATTTAATACTAATTTGTTTGATAGTTTCTTACATCAACATTGCAATTTTATAAATCAGATATTTGACCTAATACTTTTTTTCAATTATGACACATGGCAGCAAATTCACATGCAGAACCTGAAAATTATCTTATTCTGTACTCCCATCGTTAAACTAAGTTCAGCTCATGAATAATCACTCCGTTTTGTCTAACAAGAAGTTTTGTTCCGCTTTGAAGAAGGCATTATTTATCTGAGTATCTACCGCATTTGAGAATGCCTTTATAAGGCAGTGTCTATGGCTCATTGATTCTTTTGTAAGATTCTCGTTTCCGAAATGCGGTCCCCTTTGAGATAAACTTCATGATGGATGGGATTTAGATTAGTTGCATTCTGTCCGCATAATTTGAATGCCTATGCGAAGTATTTATCTTCTTCAGTTTTTATAAAGTAGGCAGTATAGATGAACTAATGTAGTATTCTCTTCAACAGCTTCTTAAATAAGATGCATCATTTACATATGCTCAAGAAATATTACACTGCGTATGGGCAAAGTTTGGAGGCCATTCACACTGATGTATAAGAGGTTATAAAAGAAAAACATCCCTGAATAGTTAAGAAGAACAAAAAAAAGGGGTGAATTTCTATAAAAAATGCTTGAAAAAAGAATAATTTAAAGTGTGATAGTTTTTTGATGGATATGTTCATATTATTGGCCAAGAAAGGGAGTTATTAAAGTATAAATTCTAACGTCAATCAGTGCGTTTAAAATAAATTATATTGCTTTACAGAAGAATTACTTTGTGCTTAGGGTACGAAAGAAATGGCTACATGCGCAATGTACTTAAACAGCTGTTTTTTTTTATTATTTGAACACTTTATGAAATATAAGGTGCACAATTTAATAACAGTGTTGACAAACATAATGGGTAAATTTATAGACGGAAAAAATATGTCTATAGTATAGCCAAAGATTAATTTGTATATATAAAACTATATATATATATATATATATATATATATATAATATGTATAATTTATTTACTACTAGATTGTTGAGTATATTATCATCTTTGAGAAAGTTAGTAGAATTGTAGTTGAATGAAAAAAGAGGCTACTAACCTTAAGTACAGTAACATTTTTGATGGAAAACTTCGTAAACTTAAAAATAATAATTTGGAGATTATGTATTGGTTTAAGTCTTGGAAACAGATAAATAGCGCTAATAGCTGCTATTGATTTAACATCAAAGATTTAATTAAATTCAATGTATTAATAAATCGTAATAAGTTGCCTAAAACTTGCGCAAAAGCTGCACAGTAATAAAATAATAAGTTATTTACTAACGAATTATTGAGTATATTATCTCCTTTGACAACGTTAGTAGAATTTTAATTGAATGAAGAAAAGGACGCCTTCTATCCATACTAATGCAGTAGACAGTGCTTCCTCATCCAGGAACCAACAATTAAGCGATTTTCTAAGACATGGTTTAGTTAATTAACGCTATTAAACGCTACCTCCAATCTTCCTATCAATCTTTCTGTGGCACAATAAATTTAAGATCAATGCCGTTTGTGGTATAAAATATATTTTACTGTGTTAGTCGTTATGGTATTCCAAAGCGAGACCAACTTTTTTTGCTGCTTGGGCGTAGGGATCAGCATGTTTCAGTTTATGTTTACGAGTAAGAAGTCCAATATCTAATGATGAAATGGGATGGTATGCAAATGCTTTTAGGGTGACTGTTAAATTTATTCCAACTCCAAATCCTGTATTATTCAAAGTGCACTTGGTGTCTAGATTGTACAATACATGAAAAAGACTCGAGGCTCTAACTTGCTGTGTGTTCAAACCAGAAACTTTCAATTTTAATATGTCTACTAGACGTGAATGGACAAACCTCTACTGGCTTCTTACACCTAAAAAACAATGAATTAATTCAGATTCGATTTGGGCGAGTGATGTAACTTCTAGCAGTTTGTAAATGAGTAAAATTAGGAGAAAACATGCCAGTTTGATCGGTAGAAGTAACGAGAGGAATTGGAACAGTGTTAAGATTTTTAAAGATTACAACATGGTGTTTATTTTTGAATTTAATGCAGGAGGTCTTTTCTCTGCGGATATAAGTTTTAGGGTTATGTACTCGATTCGTACACAATAAGCACCTATGGTAAAGGGTTTCTTGAACGATTTTAAATTTTAACGTTAATACTGAAAGCTGCTCCAGAAGATCAACTGGCTTCTCATTTCTTATCTTTGTTGTGTAGAGGTAGGTAGGTGCCATAATTAGTAATAAAAATTAATAAATGGAATATGTAATCTTTTTTTCCCTTATAACCATTTTAGCAATTAAGTACAAATACAACCGCAGTTAATTTACCCAAGGTTAAATTTTTTTACTGTTACCATCGTGGACAGGAAACATGTTCCTAGTAAAACTAAATAAACGCATATCCTAGCTGAAGAATTATTCGTTTTTTGTACATTTTTAAGTGGCACAATAATATATTAAGGTCAAAATAAAATACAAATGCAACTTGCTTTTGGACTGAATTTCCGAAAAAATATTCACATTTTAAATATAAGATCCTAAGTACCACATTACATATTAAACTCATAAGAAAAGATCACTTTGTTTTCACAATCATTATTATATGCAAGGAGGAAAAAAAGAGTAGTTACATTGAGCAGACTGTGGGAATCTGGAAGCTAAAAAAAGCATGCGCAATGCTAAAGGTTGACTTTCTGAGAGTCAGACTGCATATTTGAATTCAGGAAACCTGTCCTTAACACTCTTACTTACAGTACTTAACATACCAGTTCGATATTGTTCATATATTCATCAAGCTAAATATCAGATCCAAACAGTCTCGTCGTATCACTACGGAAAATGAGAAACAAAGCTGGGATAACTTCACATCATCAGGAGGAACTAGAAGTCTATATTCTATGAATCCTGATAAATAGTATCTTTACATTTCGGCAATAGAAATGCACGTCGGGAACGTCGTACAAATCGTCGCGTTTACTTCTAAGAATAAAAATTTATGAGTTCATTTATTTCTCCTACATAATACAATTAATCATTCAATACAGGTGGTCATCAGTACTTGCTTCGGCAGTACGTATACTAAAATTGGAACGATACAGAGAAGACTAGCATGGTCCCTGCGCAAGGATGACATGTGTTCATCTTCCACAAGGCCCAAACTTGTTTCGTAAATTTTCTTTTATACGCTCCACCGTCATTCATAGCGTTATTCTGCTTTCTTTTCTCCACTATCATACCGTTCTACTAGTTATCACCAATAACCTGTTCTTTCTCAATCTCATGAAAAGCTTGCACGGCCTTTTACAAGTTGCCACCCGAGATTTATCTCTTTCCCTTTTTTCTATTTTCTTCTTCATTTTAGCTAACTCATCATCCAAATAAATGGTCAAAAGTCCACTATCCAAATGGAAGAAAGTTAGCCGTCTTCCGACGAAAATTCCATATTTAACACCAGACCTGCAACCACGTCTCATTTGAATATAATTGGTCCATTGCAGTCTACTACAGCCTTTTTCGAACCAGTTATACCAAAGCAGCAATTATTTCGTTGTTCAAGATACAACGCTTCTAAGCATACACATATCATTCTTACATTTTTGTTCAGCTGCCAGATTCCAATATAAAATGAAATTCCGGCTCCTAGAAAAATCGTGCCTCATGTCACGAGCAGCACTGTGTTTTGAGAGGCTCGGACATACACATTAGGATTCTCCTTGCACACGAAATATGATATGATCTCCAATATTCTAGGCTTTTTTGTAGCTGCTGCATAATTATGTGTTTTCAGTTTTCAGATTATACTGATAACAAGCAGAGATAAATTGATAATTATTGTGCGGACATTGATTCAGAAGTTAAAATTACATTAAAATGTATTATAGAAGCAACTGGCGTATTATTGTCAATTTCTCTACCATAGCGGTTTTCAAACTGTATTCCCCGGAGCCCTAAGGGCTCCTAGGCAGCTCAAGGAAAATAAAATACACAAAAATAGAACGAAATGGCGTAGCAAAAGTCAAAAGTAAAATACAAATAAGAAAACTAGAAATTATATTCTAAATGAAAATCTGCGAAGTTAAATTTTAATCTCAAATAGATCTCACGTGAAGTCAGCGTTTTGACGAAAAAAGAAAATGAATTACAAACAGAAATGATGATAGGCTGCATTAGTGTTTTTTAGTGCTGAATTTCACAGTCAATTTTTCGATGCTTTAATATATTTATTGCGGAACGTAATATAACAAACTGATATGTAAGTTTGCAATTTCTAATTTTACAGTTCATTTCATTTTTTATTTTATTTTTCTATATAACATTTATTTTATTATTTTAAAGAATACGTGTCCTCCTATGGCTAGTGATGCGCGTACAAAATCTTCTATGCAAATCTCCGCCCAAAAATATTCACACAAACCTGATCTGTAAATCCTTCAATTCTAGAATTGAAGGATTTATACATTAGCTGATAGATCAAGTGAATACTAAGCTAAACATGATGGTAATTAATTTTTTTCGTAATACATGGCAGACAGCAATCTTGGAAACTTAGTCATGCAGTTCTCTGAATTCCATTTGCATTTACCTTGGAAAGTAATTACAATAATATAACATATAATGGCTTAGATCTCTGAAATGAGGTAATATTTCTAAATTGTTTACTTATTAATGACAGTCCGGTGGCGAAGTGGCTAGCGCGAAGTGCAGCTGCAGAAGAGGTCCGGGGTCCGATCCCCGGGCTGAGCAAGACCAACTCACTTTCATTCCTTGAGTGGGTCGATAAAATGAGTACCAATCGCTTGGGAACGAAACACCGAGCGTTCTGCAACAAGCTCATCACTTGCCCAGGACACATGGGTATTCCAGGGCCCAAAGGACAAGAAAGCAGAAACAAATTGCAGGCCGTTATAGGCCCACTAGGTTTGTTGCACCACTGAGTTTAGTTTTACTTGTTAATAAATTAAAAAACTAAAAATTTTAAATGGACTTTTAAATCTTAAATCCAGGTCTAACTCAATTGAGATTTCTAATCAACATAATTAAATAAAATAAATTTCAAAATAACTCAAAAATATATAAAATGTGTAAAACGTATAAAAAATATTGTTGCATCTACTCCTCGAAAATATTCTCTAGATTCGAGATCTTTCCACGTACATAACACCGCTAGAAAAAGGTAACTAAAACTAAAATTGACCAATCACAGCTTAGCTTTGCTTATTCATCTACGTAGTATAGTATAAATTCTGCTTCGCGGGCAATTATGCCCCTTTTTTCCCCGACTTCTGCCATGCAATCAACTCCGCGCCGCTCTGCTTACTTATCTAAGATGACGTCGTACTTTAAAACCCGTATACGTGGACGTGGAAATTAATGTATTCTCACTATGATTAAAAATATCTTGTCTGCAAAAGAATAATTTAATATGCGTAAAAATAAAGATTGGGATTTTTCAAATTCAGTTCTGTTGGCTTCGTCTGTATGGCTTTGCACTCACTTATGTCTGCAGCCAGACGTAACACAGTCTCGCGCGCTAGAGATAAAAATGATTTTTCTGTACAACGCTGCCATTGCTCGCTTTGAAATCGTAAAGTTTTTTAATAAAAAATTCGTTAAAGTTTTACAAAATATGCTATCGATAATAAAGCAAATTCAAAATTCAAAATTAGAGCTACCAGATGCCCATATTCGGTGAAAGATTACGTTATTCATAATTGGATGGCTCTACGTACCTTTGTTTTATCACAATGCGAGAAACATACATACATTTACGAAGATTTTTCATTATTTAATTTCTTTAAATATAATATAGAACGATAATATTTCGTGGCAACAATCTGGAAAGTGAAACAGCGCAGAAAGTGAATGAAGGAAAAATGCGGAAACGAAATTAATAGTCCTTCTGCGCAAATTGCACCTTTGAGCTAAAATATAAATGCAAAAATGGTAAGATCATATTTACAGCGGATACTGTTTCCTAAGCGACGCCTTAATGTTAAATATAGGACAGTAAACGCACATATAAAGACAGATTAATATTATGATAGTGTGTATTTCAAAGGACGTACCAATTTCGATAACTTTTTTTAACTTGTACAAAATATTATTTTACATTGATATAAATCAGAAGTCTGTAAGTCATGTGCTGAAAAACCTAGGGAGAAATGTACTCCAAGAACAGAAATATGCGATGCAGTATATATATAAAGAGAGCAAATTGCAGTAAATAAGAAATCCTGATGTCCAAAAAAGGATCAAGATGGATGATGTCTTTCTCAAGGGAATAGTATGTTTTCTTGATCTGTTCGTTTTTATAAAGCTGCCACTACATGAACTCAAAAGAACAATAATTATTATATTACTTAAGCATCGGGGTAACTTAATATATACAAAAAAAAAAAAAAAAAAAAAAAAAAAAAAAAAAAAACAGATATTAAAATTCTTTCTGAAACTGTTCTACCCCAAAATATATAAGAAACAATTGTGAGGAGTGAAATAAAACAAACGTAAAACTTAAAGCTAAAGAATTAATAATGCAAATAATGCAGCTTTTAAAATTCGAACAAATTAATAAAACAAAATTCGTAATTTGTACTTAACTTGAGTTAATATTCCAATCTATGTTTGTATCCATCTATCTTTCTATATATTTCTGAATATATGTGGTAATAATATGATAAATATTGTTTCATTTCAGGTAAGCTACATTTCTTGGCATGAATCGAATCGTTATATCTGTCACATTCAAGGTAATAATACATTTTTTTTTGCTGTTGTTTGTGTTCATTCATTTTTGACAGCTTTCGTAAAGCATTTCGCTAATGTATATTTCTGATTTTTTTATTATGAACTATTTAATGAATGCTATTTTTGTAATAAATGGATTAACGGGGTTTGTAATAAATATGCCTGGAGACACATTACAGTTTACATTCATGTGAGTTATCCAAAATTCACTATTTTCATATAATCTGCTTACAAAATGCTATGCAGTTTATCTCTGTATATATATTTTGTTTTGTTTTGGTCATTTTTAAAGATATAATTTACGTAGGCTTAAACAAATATATTTTTGTAATATTCAAACTGTCAGTAAAAAATGTAAGATTATCACATGCTAATATTAACATATTTTGTCCATATGTGCAAGTAATATCGCTTGAAACAATGCATTATCTCAAAAGATACGCGATCATTAAAACGTTCAAGGTGCTTAGAGAGATACTGACGTTTACATTACGTAACTCAGACTGAATTTCGCTTTCAGGTCTTTATAAATTAATTAGATTTCAAAGTGTAAAATTATGTTACCAATTTCAATCTAAACACAAGGTTAGCATTTAAGTGAAACACGCTATTAATTTGCAATGCTAAACACAGCAATCAATGAATAAGGCTTAAATTTACATCCTAACTATTTACTAATGCATTGCTAATGGATTAATATTCATAACCGGAAAATTAATATTTCTCTGTAATACTACATAATTTCTCTAAAATATTATAGAACAGTTAACTTTCAAGTTGGCATAATAATATCTTATGCAATATCATCGAGTACTTTAGATTCAAAATAGTTTTTCCGTTGCTACTGTCTGTAAATTAAAGATAGTACATTGAAATGTTGCGCTATTCCATCGACATTATTACGGTAATTTCCTGTTATAAAATGAGATTTAAAACCGATAAGGAAAATGGAATACGTTTCTTCTCATACCGATGAAGTATTTAATAGAAAATTAACTAATTCAATATTATTAGTGTACATTTTCTTTGAATACATTATTGCATGGTACAGGCTCCTAAGGATCCACTTAATATTTACTTTAGATTAATAAAACGAATGTGACTGTTTATTGAAACTTTTAACTGCCCATACAGTAAAGTTAATGCTATAAATATCCCAAAAGGAAACTAGACATAAGGCGACTTATTTTCAACACGTGAGAAATTTCACTAGTCACCAAAATCACTCGCTGAACGAATTATAAAGAAGTGATCGCTGAGTAGAAGCTCAATACGGCCTCACAATTCAATATTAAAAAAATTAAGCTAAATGACACACCTCGAAAAAATTCTCCAGTTGCTCCTTAGAGGGGGGAGAGACTTTTAATAATTTTTTATAAAATTTATGTCAGTTTTATTAATTTTATTAAAGTGTGTTAA